GGGTCTGTATGCGGACGGGAGTTCTCAGGTTCCCCTCCTTCCGGAGAAGGATCAAGTTGGCCCTCTTCCATCGGGAAGTGGCCAGCTCTGAGCAGCACGTGAATAGCTGTTTCAGCCGGCCGCCTATTCCTCCAAAGGCCAGGGCCCACACTCTATCCAGGATCCCATCTGGTCCAGGGGCTTTGTTTTTGCCTCCAAACCTCTTAGTCGCGGAGAGCATCTCGCCCTCAGTTACCCCGAGCTCCTTCGCCCAGCCTTCGGATGAGCCTACATAGGAGGGGACCGTGCACTGTTGATCGGAAAAAGTCCCCACCACTTCATCCAGAAACTCGGGGTCCATGCCCTCCGCGACTGGGGGCGTCCCGTGCCTGAGTTTTTTCAGTACTATTTAGTATGGACGCCCCCATGGGTCCCGGTCTAGGAAGGAGACTAGCTCCTCCCAGGCCCCAGCCTTCGCAGCCCAATGGCCGCCTTTAGGGAGGCCCACACGAAATGCCTCATACGCCTCTCCAGTCCTGACGGGGTTCCCCGGCGGGCCCGAGTGAACTTCCTTCTCCGGCGAACCGCGAGTCGCCGCAGGTCAGCGATCTCGTCGGTCCACCAGTATGCGGCCCGCCGAGGGTACTATTGTATTGTAATACTATTGTAGTATTAGAATGGTTTTGACAAGGTTTTAACGTCATCTTCTTCATGTTAAGGCTCAAAACTTTTCAGACTACCCTCGTATTATCTTCTCTTTTCAAAGTTATGGTCTCTCTCTCTCTCTATTGTATATGTATATCTTCTATCTCTCTTTCTTATTTTATCTATAGTGTTTAGTATTACTTTATCTTGTTCTAACGTTCAATCTCATGCAATGAGTCTTGTGGCGGCATATTGGCAGTCGTTGAAACGTCTTCGCAATGGCATCACCCGGCAATAATTTGTGCGCGAAGAATCGCTTCTGCGCGAAGAATCGCTTATGCGCGAAGAATCTGTGCGCGAAGAATCGCCTGTGCGCGAAGAATCGCCTGTGTGCGAAAAATCTGTACGCGAAGAATTACTCGATGTGTTAGTAATGAAGTGCCCATAATATTTTCCGACGAGAATAATAGCGATGACGATGATAGTGATTTTGAAGACTTTTTTGCGCTTAGGAGCGCTTTGATTTTATATATATGTGGATAAACATTATCCGCACTAATTATAATGATGGTATTTTTGCGATGGATGCGGAGGAATAATACATTTATTACGTTCCCAACGACCCTTACGCCGATATTGTGCAACTGTCTTGATCATTAGAATTGTATGAACTTATCAGTTGCATGACTTCGACGGAGGATGAGGAGGAGGAAAATTATCCAAAAGCTGAAGTTCCAGAAGATGAAGTTCCAGCGGATAATTCCGGTGAGGATGTGGATGAAATTCCCCTCTCGCGAGTAATCCGGAGGGAGTATAAAATTCATTTTTTTCTTTTGTATTTTAAGTGACTTTTTTGGATTATTAAACATTTCTTTTGTGTATTTTTAAGTGACATTTAAGTAACATTTTCTTGGATTGTTAAACATTTGTTTTGTGTGTGTATTTTTAAGTAACATTTTCTTGAATTATTGTGACATTTCTTTTATGTGCGTGTATTTTTTAAATGACATTTTCTTAGATTACTCTATAACCTCAACTGGTGAGTCTATTTAATTTTTTTAATTTTTTATTTTTATTTTTTACTCGGCGGCGGCGGCGGACGCAGCGAGGCGACGGGCGTGGCGGGGTGGCGGGCGCGGCGACGACGGTGGCGGGCCCGGGCTCCCCTCCGACGTCATGTCCACGCGCAATTTGTTTATCCTTTCATCATATATCTTCTTCGCCACCTGTGTATCCGTTTATCTATTTGTTTATCTTTTTGTTTATCTATTTATTTATATTGCCTTCATCTTGCTACTATCTTATCCCCCCTCCTCCCTGCCGTGATATCATGTCCTTCGAGTCGCAATTTTTTACCTATTTGTTTATCTATTTGTTTATCTTCTTATTTATTTATTTGTTTATTTACTTGTTTATCTACTTCTTTATTTATTTGTTTATATCATCTTCATCGAATCCTACTATCTTATCTACCCCCTCCCTCCGCAACTCAGTTCAAACGACCGCCGCCCCTGATTTCCTCCTCCCCTCTTCCCCGCGCTCACCGTTCCCTCCCGCACACTCGCACCCTTCGGAGCTCCTGCGTTAGAATCGGTATAGTATACCTATTACCATCCCTCCTCAACAAGGATCAGACTCAGTCTATAAAAACGGGGCTCTTCTGGGACGCAGCATTCATTCTTCATTTTTCAGTCACACCAACTCATCCGACCCACATCAGCAGCACTCATAACTTACATCATTCGAACCTCCATTCTACCTTTTGAAGTTATAAATTAGAATGAGTAAATCCAAGTCAAACTTCCAGAAGAATATCGAGACTTGTTCTTCAATCTCGACTTCAGTCAACCAACAGTAAGTCTTTTGTTAATTATGGAATAATTTCAATTTCGAATTTTTTGGATTTTTACTTCATTTCCTTGCTCCATCTTGCTTGAAATTACATTTCTCTTTCTTTCTTTCTTTCTCTCTTTTTTATATACCGGCGCGGGCTGCCTGGGACTTCGAATAGAAATCGTAGAAAGTCCTTGAAAGCTCCCGGTTGCTTTTTCCTTTCTCTCTCTCTCTCTCTCTCTCTCTCTCTCTCGTCTCGTCTCGTCGTCGTCGTGTCGTCGTAGTAGTATACGTATAGTAGTACGTTACGTTACGTTACGTTACGTTTACGTTCCGTTTCATATAACGTTGTAGTCTCTCGTTGTCTTTTCTTTTCTTCTCTCTCTCTCTCTCTCTCTCTCTCTCTCTCTCTTATATATCGGTGCGGACTGCCTGGGATTCTGAATATAGAAGGCCTTTGAAGGCTCCTGGTTGCTCTTTCCTTTCTTTCTCTCTTTCTTATATCCTGGTCTTATATGCGGGCTGCTTGAAGGCACTTATTCGATTTCTTATTCTTTCCCTCTTTCTTTCTTTTTCTCTGTCTCTCTTATTTTCTTCCTCTCTTTAATATATGTCGCACTTCTCTTCATTCATTCATCCCTATTCCTCTTAGTGAATTAATCGGAAATGCCATCTTCTAAATCTTGATACTCTGATCGTATATTAACGGTCCCGTCGTCATTATTGCGGAGGGACTCAACGGGTGTTCAAGAACAGAGCCAAGAAATCTAAACAAATATTAAGAGAACCGACCGAATTCACTTCTCTCCGTCAACTTCATTTACTATCTCCGTTCCTGACCCCTCTCTCTATCTTCACAACCAATTCCCGAATTTCCTTCCGAACCATCTCAATCAACGTCAACTATCACTGTTCTTGAATCCTCCTCTAATTTATTCTCCCAATTTTTCCCCGATTTGCCTACTAACCCGATAGAACGCTTAATTTATACACTCGTGCCTAATTATTCACCTGAATACCATTATTCACCTAAATACCTGTATACCATTCTGAATCCGAATCTGTCATCGATTTCCAAGTCCTATCTCCCTTTATTTTCTGATAACAGAGAATCCCTTTTTCTCGAAGAGGATTTCTTCGACCTGTTAGATGTAATCTAAAGCTACTCCCCTCTTAACTTAACTCTTAACTTTCATATTAACACCATTTATACTTACATATTTATTATTATTGCTTACATTTGATCCAATGTCATTTTTATTAACCTAAATTCATTTATCAAATAAATATTGTATCACCGAATAGGATCATCTCCCAATTAAATAGACTTTAACATTCACACTCTCTGGTAGAAATCCTACCCAATGGCCGCCGAACCATTGTAACACCCGCGATAACACACATGCACACTATTCTTCTTACATTTCTCGTGCTTCTTTAAACATGTACATCATTAAGCATATTAAAGAACTAATTTAGACTTTAATTTTTCTTTATTTTTTCTAAACGCCTTATTCATTTTTCCCATCTCATTGATCGCACGAGGTCTGTCCCTAGTAAAAGGAATTAAATTTCTTGATCAAAAAACGATCGATGAACATACGTTTACGAAGCGACGTCATAGCGTTCCCTTATCGCTGACTCGAAACATTATTAGTGCTTTTCAACTCAGGAGATCAAGTTTCCACGTCTGACTCGAGAGAGCAGTTGTTCCGTCCT